TGTCCTCTTCTCTGATCTTAAGCTGATAGTATCCTGATCTCAAGTCTATCTTAGAAAACACAGAGGCACCCTCCAACTGATCAAACAAATCATCAATTTTCGGAAGAGGGTATTTATTCTTTATAGTTAGCTTGTTCAATTCTCTGTAGTCTATGCAAAGCCTTAAACTTCCATCATTCTTCTTCACAAAGAGCATAGGAGCACCCCAAGGCGAAGTGCTAGGCCTGATAAATCCTTTATTAAGCAACTCTTCCAATTGATCTTTCAGTTCCTTCAGCTCTTTTATTGTCATCCGATAAGGGGCTTTACCAATAGGATCCGCTCCACTAACCAGCTCAATAGTAAAATCAATCTCCCTGCTTGGAGGCAAGCCAGGTAAATCATCTGTGAACACTTCTGGATACTCTTGCACAACAGGTATATCCTCTAATCTCCTCTCTTCTTTCTTCTCCTCCTTAACATAAGCTAGAAAGCCTTCATTACCCTTTCTCAACAATTTGTAAGCCACCAACGAAGAGACTATCATGGAATTTATGCCTCTTTCTCCTATGAATTTAAATTCTTTCTCCCCGAGCATACAAAATTTAAGTTCTTTCTTATTACAATCTATGGTCACAAAGTGGCAAGACAACCAATCCATATCTAGGATCACATCAAATTCCGTTAAGGGCAATAACATAAGATCTACACCCAAATTTTTATCACTTACAATCAACTCCACATGACACCCCTTATTGGTTTCCAACTGACTCCCATTGGGCATCAAGACTAATAAAGGTTTAAGCATAATTAAAGAAGACAAACCAACAGACTTAACAAACTCCTCCGAAATAAAAGAATGTGATGCTCCCGTATCAAACAACACATTAATAGGCTTGTTACATACAAAGATTGTTCATAAATACCATGCATGTAATATAACATAAAGCTCATCTTACTCATAAATAATAAAGAAATTCATTGACATTAAATAAAGTTCATACCTGTGATAACATCAGGAGAGTCTTTTGCTTCTTGTGGGGATAGACCATAAACCCTCGGCTGAACAGGCTGTCGAGCTTGGCCTTAAGTTGGAGTTGATGCAGAAGACTCCACCATCCTAGGCCTTCCAACTGTCCTCTGAGGAGCACTACCTGTTCTGGCCTCTGGAGTAGACTTCTGTCCTAAGATAGGGTAAAACTTTGCCATGTGCCCTGGTTGATGACAACAGAAATAGTTATTTGTGCCAGAAAGGCACTCTCTCCTATGAGCCCTCCCACACTTATTGCACATAGCAGATGAAGTGCTGCTATCTGAAGTGTTGGGCTTGGGCTTCTTCAAAATAGGCCTTCCAGAATGAAAAGATTGGGCAGGTCTTGATCCATCTTCATTCTTCCTCTTATGGAAGTCTCTCCTCCTCTGAGTACTCTGAAAATCCAGCTCAATCTTTCGTTCTCTCTCAACTAAAGTAGAGTAATCTTCAATACCCAAAGGGACCAATGGCTGTCTAATGCTATCCCTCAAGCCACAAAGAAAGCGGTGGCATTTCTCTTCTGCATTAGGAATTAGATGAGAGGCATACCTAGAAAGCATCGTGAATTCAGCCTCATACTCTGTAATAGTCGTGTCACCCTGCACCAGTCTATTAAAATTATCTTGCATTAACCTCCTAGCAGTCATTGGTACATACCAATCTCTAAACACTTTGACAAACTCCTCCCATGTTATTTAGCTGCTAGGTCTCCCACCAAAAGTTTATTCCAACTAACTTATCCACAATTTTTCTGCTTCCTCATTGAAGGCATAAGCAGCTAAGGCTACCCTTCTATCCTGTGGGCATAACATTCCCTCTAAAATCTTCTCAACCTTCATTAACCAATTCTCTGCCTCTATAGCTCCACCTCCCATAAATGATGGTGGATTCATATCTTGAAATAACTTTAAATTCTTGTCCATCACAGTGCTTCCATTGCCTCCAGTTTGAGTCTGAGTATTCTTTATCATCTGTGTCATAACCGCCATCATTTGAGTGAAAGAATCCAAAGTAGCATTAATGCTACTGCCTTTAGGCTCCACTACTAATGGCAATTCCCTCCTGACCTCTCCAGTGTTGCCATCAGTGGCATCACGTTCAGGTTCCTCAGTCATGAGACATAAATTAACAAAGCAATCTAAGTAATAAATAGCACAAGCACCTTATACATATTCTAACATATATGATCATCCCATTGGCTCTTTCATAAAAATCAATATCCTTAAATCCTTGGCTCTGATACCACTCTTTGTCACGACCTGGCCCGGTTAGCACGCAAGTGCGAGGCGGAAACAGAGGTCGGACAGGATGAAGATAAAAGAAACTTCACAATAAACAATTAACATATCTCCAAATAAGTACCAAACATAAAGAAAGAGCCACTAAAGAATCTTCAAATAAAAACTTTTCATTTCTTCATTTCAAAGCACCAACATAAGGATTTCACATTGAGTTTACAAAATACAAAGGGGGATCCAAAAATTATTTTTCTTACTTATCATTTCTAAACATTCTATATAAAATATCAAAACTCAAAAGAACCTACAGCCCGTCGTCTCCCTACGACGGTAAGTGCGCGGTGGTTGGTCTGCCATCTATCCTTTCCTAGATCCTCCTGAAAAGTGTTCCTACAACTAGGGTGAGTCATAAACTCAATAGGTGCGAATGAAATTCAAATGAATTTAGAGCCAATAAAAGAAAACTAAATAATGCTTGAATGTTATAACAAAACAAACATCAACATAAAGAAATATTGCTTTGAGTAAATGCATACCTTCACCTCAACTTTCAAGTGCTTTTTCCTTCATAACATTTACATTTTTCCTTTAACATTTTGCCTCACATGATAGTCTCAAATGCATAACATGAATATGAAATGTTTATAATAGTTTAATATGTAAATATAACACCCGTCTCAGGAGTATCACTTGTACTGATCATGTAAATAAAATTTTGCCATTTCCTTTATCATTGGTTCATAGGAACCATCCTTTACCATGGCTTATAAGAGAATCCTTTACCATGGCTCATAAGAGCCTCCTTTACCATGTGATACTCCCGCGTCAACATGCACATACACTTATTACTTATATAACCATAAGAGATGCTTTATGTAAACCATTCATAAAACTAATCCCTATACAATATCCTAAACCCTAATTTTAAAGTAATAAAAGGGTTCTTTTAATGTCTTGTTTATGTTCCAATTCAAGCCCTCCACACCAAATCATAATCTCTCAAACACATTCTCTTTCAATTATGGTTTAGTCTAATTCCTTAGGTTTTAAGCATGCAACACTTTTCCCTACCCTCATAACATAATTAAAATAAAATCAATTTTCGGAATTAATGAAATAAAAAATTAGAAAATATAGTTTTTCAAGCAAAACCCATGTATTTGCCTCTAAAATCCTCCCAACAACCAATGAAAACCATAGAAATAAAAAATTCCTTAATTAGGAAAAAAACCCTAAATTCCTAAACTTAAAATTTTTGTCATTCATTCAATATTTTTCAATTAGAAGTTTTCTTAGGTTAATAGAAACCTCATTTGTGAAGACATTTTCAAAGAAATGATTTTTGAGCAAAATCCTAATTTCCAAAATTTCATATTTTTCAAGAAAACACTTCACATTAGGGTTTAAAAACTTCCCCTAACCCTTCCCTAAACTTTTCTCAAAGGAACCTTAAAGAAATCTCAAGTTTTCCTAAAACCTTAGAAATCTTCTCATCCAAAAATCTTGATAAAGAGAGGGAAAATCATAGTTCTAATACATACATTTTCCTTCCCTTGACTTCCTCTTTAATTTCCCCAAAATTCCTCGCCGGAAAAGGTCGCCGGAGCCGCCGTCTGAAGAGCCCGAGCCGTCCGCCCCTAGGAGTTCCGCTCGGTTCGTGCGAATGGGGGAGGAGGGCTCAGTTTGCCTATTATGGGAGAAATGAGGATTGCCAAAAGTCTATTTTACCCTCACTTAAACTCTCTTCTAATCAAAAAGCATTAAGGGCAAAATTATTATTTAGAACTTTCCGAAAATTTTAACTCTCAAAATACTCAAAATCCGATATGGGTTCTATACATCAAAATGATCAGAATTTTACGCTCTATTTTCTATCCATCAAAATCCGACAACCTCGAATTTTCCACTTAAAACTCGTCGAGGCGCTTTGAGAAGCGTGCGAAGCCTAAAATGACATTTTTTCAAGTTTTACAAGTATACAATGTACACTTCAGGTGACAGTGGCAGTACACTTGAGAATGTGGGTGACTGTCTTTAGTAGAAGAAGAATTTGTTGAACTCCTTTTAAAGTACATGCAATTTGTCAACAAATTTGCAATATAAACGAATAGCATTGTGACTAGCATTATACAAATTTTCTGAAAATTTTGGAAAATAGTAAAGGCATTGTGACTAGTAATATACATGAAGCTATTAACCAAAACTCCTTCAAACGTCACATGTTCTAAAATATTCGGTATGCACTAAAAAAGGTTGAGCAATCTACAAGAGAAGTTGCAGCTTCAATCGAAAAAAAAAATGACAAGGCTGAGATGACACAGCTCGCAATAAGAGTTCAGTATTGACAAAGGTGAGCAAACGTACAAAGATTGAATGACATAGCCGCAATAGGAGCAGATTTTATCGGGATTTCACCATTGTTTTCGTTGAAGATATGCTAACCGGTGGAGAAAATAGAAAGCAAAGGAAGGAGTTCGTTGAGAAGAGCATGTCCAGTTTTTGTTGCGCGGGAGGAGCCGGAGTAGCACGGAGCTTGTGTGGTTAGGGATTGACGCAACTTTCACGTGAAAATAGTGCTCACGTAGGACAAAACAGACGAGGTGAGGTTTTTTGCCTATCAAGTGGTATTTTTGATTTTATGTTTATATTTGAGTGGTATAAATAAAATATTTAAATTTAAAATGTTAAATATATAATATGAATGTTATATAATGATATATCCTTTTATCTTTATTTTATTGATGTTTGAACGTCCGGATTCCGCACGGATTAATTTCTCCCATCATACGGGCAGGATCCCTGCCAAATTTCCCCTTTTTTTCTAGAGCGCCACCAATGCCCAAAATCCATCGCCTCTCTCCATTTTGAGGCTCCTCTCGCCTCCCCGCCGGTTTGCGATCTCTTCTTATTTGCTCCGTTAACCTTTCATGGCGTCAATATCTGGTATGTACTCCCCCTCTTCTGCCGTTAAAATCGGTAGATCCCCTATCACTATCCTTCTCTCCCGCCGAGACGCCTTCTTCGTACCGATCTCGCCGGCCGGCCGGTCCGTCCGGCTGGCGCAATCCGTCGCCAGGGATATCCCTTCAGGTTTCTCTGCAGTCTCCAATTCCCCAGCGTCGAAGACCGCTGCCGTAGAGAAGGACCAGGTTAGTCTTTGGCATCGGTATGTGGATTGGCTTTACCAGCATAAGGAGCTTGGGCTTTATCTCGATGTGAGCCGGATTGGCTTCACCAGTGAGTTCTTAGAGAGAATGGAGCCTAGGATGCAGAGTGCATTCGTGGCGATGCAGGAGCTTGAGAAGGGTGCCATTGCTAATCCAGATGAGGGCAGGATGGTGGGACACTACTGGTTGAGAAATGTGGCTCTGGCTCCCAACTCGTTCTTGAGGTCGCAGATTGAGAAGACGCTAAACGCTGTATCCGAGTTTGCAGACAAGGTTATCAGTGCTCAGGTGTGGATGCACTTTCGCTTAAATATTTTGTCCTTGGGAATGTTTGAAGGGATTTTCATGGAAAAGTGGAGGATTTTTGGCGAACTTCCACGGACTTTTACCTTTTCATAGTAATTTTTATCTAGAAGATCGTGTTCTTGCTGGAATTTGTAAATGAAGAGCTGTGCTTATGATTTTGTGGTTAAAGCGTAAGGGGCTGTTTGGCAACAAGCAGGATTTCACATGAGTAGGATTTAATAAATTTTGTAAATCCGAATATACTAAATCATGAGGATATTAAATCCCAAAATTGTTTGACATGACATTTGTTAAATCCTATTAAATCCTAACAAACTCTTTGGCTACATATTTTAGAATTTATGATGATTAAGAATTTGAATGTGAATATATTCATAATGCATATGCAATACAACAACAATAACAACATCAAGCCTTTATTCCGCTATATGGGGTCGGCCACATGAATTGTATCATGCTAAGAGTCAAATTCTTATTTAAAACTAATAAAGAAAGGTCATTTCTAATATTTTTTAACTCTACCTTTCTTAACATAGGCTAAATCTAATACATCTACCCTCCTAACCAGGTTATTGGAAGGATTACATTTTATGTGACCAAAACATCTATGATGACTCTCTCTAATCTTATCTACCACTGGAGCTACTCTAACTTTTTCACGTATATACTCGTTTCACATTCTGTCTATAAGAGTGAAGCCACTCATCCAATGACCATCCTCATCTCTGCAACGCTTATCATAATTTTATGCTTCTCTTTTAATGACCAATATTTTGAGCCATAAAGCATTGTACGTCTCACCACCATCTCATAAAATTTTCCCTTAAGTTTGAGGGGCACTTTTCTGCTACATAACAAGCCCGATGCATTCCTCCACTTCAACAATCTAACTTGAACTCTACTAACATTATTCATATATATATATTTGACCAATCCCCGAACTCCAATATAGTGGCCCTTGCACACTTTTTGCTGTATTTAGGCTTTATAGCACATCGTTTCCAAATAATGCTCTATTATTAACACAATGTTTTAAAAAATTTATGTCATATTTATTCAAAAAGTTTTATATTGATTGTCGACTATCTAATGCAACATTTTACTTTTCTTATCAAGGGCTTGGGATCTGGCAACGACAGTGTAATGCATATGTAAGAAATGAAAAAAGTGAAATGATATCTTTGAATTTCATCACTAACCAAATTATAAATTCAACATAAATTTAGACAATAGAATAAATCAAACTTAAGTTCATATAATATGAATTATAAAATCAATAAAGAGTACATAGTAGAAATTTTGTAGATGAACACATTAAGTAGTAGTGGACAATAAAACACTCACCATGCTTACATTTGTAGATTATTATAGACTGCAGGAATGTGCGTACCATTAATTGCACCCACATCATTTTTGAAGTAACGATAAAATTGTGTATTTGCTCATATAAAAAAGATGATACTCTGCATTTGGCAATGATAAATTAATAAACTCATTTTGACAATAACATAATAGAACATAGTACATGATTAAAATACCTGGTCTTAGTTTTTAGTGAATGCTGGAATAATTCACATAACTGTCTGTAGCTATAAGCTTAGGCAACCCGCCATAGAAATATAACTAGTTGTTCTGCTGCGATAATATATCATTTGGCATGCTGCAATTCATTAGTAGGCCGTTTAGATGCAAAAGCCTTAACAGCTGATAAGCTCATCCCATATGACTAGGTGACTAGCCAGCACATCCTCCATGTATTGATGACCTTTATAAGCCCTATCAAACATAATTCTTCTTATCTACTGTTCCTCCTCAGAGAAGCTACTCTCGTCTAAGACGTGTGGAGTTGATTCACCAATGATCTCATTTATTTGTAATTACAACTCAACCACACCACAAAGTGTATCCGGAAGAATTCCACATCTTAGCTTTATGATATAAACCTAAATAAATGAAGTTAATGAATAGCAGGTAATGCCATGAAATATATCAACTTATGAAACATAACAACTAACAAATATTGAAAAAGCATAAAAAACTAATAGAAAAATAAGGCTGCTCATTACGATTTATTTGGTAGAATGTGGTAGCGGTAGCTGGTGATTTTTTCTCGCACTCTCTTACAGGTAGGCCAGAAAGCATGACTTGTAGGGCTTTTGTGAATGCAAGCATGGCAAAAATCACTCAGCACAGTAATGGAGTAAGGCCATTGCTTGTGGTCATTGGTTTATGCAACTTATTTGTCGGGAATACAAACGGTAAAGGAGGATTCAGTGCATAATGAACACTTTCCTAAGTAATTTAATTGACACTAATTTTTTTGGTAAAATAATTTCCTGAACGAGCGTAGTTGGTGGCCTAACTGTGCAAATAATTATATCCCATTTGTACTCTGACCATTAGAAGAAAAAGAATTAGATTTTGCAGTAGATGAAATAATAAGAATCTGATTGTACTATTATCTTAAATAAATGGCTAAATATGCTTATTTAATCAAGGATCTAATTGAATTCAGTTTATTTTCATCTGATGTCCTTTTGATTACCAAAAAAAACACCTTGTATGAGATCATTAAAGGTATATTTTGTCGTTTGAATTTAGAGATAAATTTATAAAAAACAATATTGTTTGTGATATCCATCATTTAGTTGGAATGTATTCATACACTAAAATTGATTCAAACTCCATGAATCATCTCAAAACTCCCTTAAAAAAGATGATTCCAACTTACAAAACACGAATTAAAAATGAAATACAATTAATGAAGCAACATGACATACATGATATATTGCTAATAAATGACGAATTAGAACAAACTATCAAATAAGCACAACAAATTCGATTATTACAACCATGCTGGGGATGCATACAAACGTGTGACAGCTTACGAAATGCTCAATCTAATTTTTAAGAAGTTCACCATCTCATGTCATAAAGATGGCTTTGTTGTTCTTGTTCTCTTTGAGTGCATCTTGGATTACAAAGATTGCTTGAGTAGTCATATTATCGATGTTGACTAATTTAACCAAACATTTTGTAAAAAATGTACAAACCACTTTGTTTAGCTGTTTTCCTTAAACATTACCGTATTCTTATTTTGCCTCAACTAATAGCTTGTTTAATGTATCTCTGACTCCTTTCTTCTTTGTGTGTCCAACGGTATATATGGGTTCTTCACTCTACCTTTTAGAGCCTACAATGGGACTTGAATCTGATTGGTTCTCTGGTTCTACATCGAACTCGGCATTTGGTAGAGTTCTATTAACATTGCATTCATCCTCAAAAGCTAACACTATAGCCTAACATGAAATCATCTGTCGTGTTTGGAACTTCTTCTCTTTTAAGTTCATCGTAGGTCATGCTAGTTTCTAGTGCAATATTTTCAGCACAGATCTTCTCAAATATTTCGTGCTTTTTTGTAAAAATGAACCAACTTCAGGTTCTCATATCATTCAAAATACTCAATTATATGTTCATTCTATTATTCTTGCATATAGATTTTTAATAAGATGAAGTACTTGACTGATCTACTCCCACAGCTCATCTGTTGCGACTGGATATGAAGTTTTTCATCCCATCCCCAACCGATTCATCTTGTTATTTGATAGTGTTCTAAACTCTGCTTTAATATTTTTGAACCTTATCATGACGATTGTTTCGATGTATTTGGTATATAGATGTCTATTCATCACTTTCATGAGGTTCGACCATTGTTCCTTATTCAAAATGCCATTACAAAGTTCCCATAGATGAATTGTTCAAGTAAGAGCTTCTTCAGTGAAAGGAAATTCACACAAAGAAAAAAGGCTTGCAACAATACCTTCTTCACTAGTGTCGACAGACGACAAAGAGAAAGTGGATGTCAAGAATGGTGTTTGGTGCTAAGGTAGAAATCCTATCATTAGATAAAAGGATTTCAAGAATGTTGCAGGAGAACTATTTGCAAATCCATAAATCACGTTTAATCCGCTGAACTACAGGATGCTGTAAATCCGGTATCTACGACAAAAAAATGATAATTCCGGATTTATGATGGGTGCAGATTTATGACGCTCATTTCTTCCATTTGGCAGGATTTAGCATAAGTCTTAAGTAAATCCTACTTAAAACATGCTACCAAACCGACCCTAAGAGCTAATTAAGTGAAAGCAGGAAAGTTCGGATCTCAATTTCTTATGCACTTACTTTTTTCAGTCATCTTACAATTAAAAAGAGAATAAAGGTGGTTGTTGAAATTTATTTAAAGAGGCTGGCGAAGGTCGGATTAGGGGCACTTGGCCTGCAATAGAGTTCAAACTTGACACCTGCTTATACGATTAATTTTTATGCTTTCCCTTTGTAGCAATCCCTGCCATGTACATCTTAAAACCATAGTACATGATAAGTGGATGTTCTGTTGTGAACTCGAATTTGTGTGATTTTGTTAAAATGCTAATTTGACTTTGACTAGCATAAAATTTTGCAAGTTGTTCATGAGAGACTATCATGGCAATTTGTAGTCCCTTTCCTTCCTAGAGAAGAATGTGCTTGCCTTCAATGTTTCTGGCGGTCAAGTTTAATTTTGTTGAGAACCAAACTTTTCATTTCAATGTTCGAAATTAGCAATATATATATATATATATATATATATATATCGTCTCTACATTACACAATGCAGCTTCATGAAAAAAATTAGCATGACTCTTTGAAACTTTTGTAAATAATGTATTGGATATGAATCTTAAATGAGGTGTATATGTAGAAGTTGCTAAGGAATTGTTAATGGCTCATTACATAAAGTTAAATGAGATATTCATATATATTAAACTTTGGATTAAGATTTTTTTTTTTTGGTATTTTAGATTGTAAACATTCATTCCAACTTTTTGTATAACATTATATGGTTGTTTTTTAGCAGTGAGTTTCTGCAAGATTTTTGCAGAAACCCTTTTAGAGTTCAAATAAATCATTACCTGAACATTTAGTTTAATTTTCACACATCT